TACACTCGATTCATCATCACCCGCGCGGACCACGTCTACGGGTGCCATCATGATGTGAGTCGCTTTGACTTGCATCACCAAGTTTATGTCCCCACTGGTGAAGACTACGGCGGTGTGTGCGACCGTCACATTGTGTGCGGCCAGGCGGATGTGCTCGCCTGCCTCTCAATTATCGATGGCCCGCTGCTCCATCCTGAACGGTATGTCAAGCAGGCCGACTCGATGGCTACATGTGGACCTGAACCGTTCATGAAGCTAAGGCTGCAGGAGCTTGGGCTCTGGCCACGACTGCGCCGCTTCGCACGCGTCATGTACCTGTCAAGCGACAAGGGCAACGGGAGTTCCGTCTTGAACAAGACATCGAAGGAGCCCTCTTATCCCAAGCCAGCGGCGCCAGGCCAGCATGTCAAGTACTTAGACGAGTTTGTGGCCACACGATGGACTTGCGGATTTTGTAAAGGGCTTGGGGCTGGGCAGCCTTTCTGCTGCCCCTTGCGCCGTCCAACTGCCATGGTGTTGGAAGGCGCGCTGGCTAGCGGGAAACTGGCATACGTTGAACCACGCACAGGTGATTGCCAACTCTCTAGAGCTGTCATCCTGGCCTTGACCTTGGCAAGTGGGGTTATCCTGGCAGGCATCCTTGCCGTTCTTGGTCGGCGCTCTCGCTTCTCAGTCCTCGACGAGCGATAAACAAACCAATAAACATAGTTGAGCGTAGAATGGCAATCTCCGTTTTGTTGTTATCTGCTTCCTCCATGACATGGGTGGTACATGAAAAGCACAAACGTACTGTAGCACAGTTTAACGCATAAGGCTAGTTCCATTTCACTCTGACACGCTAATCTTGAAAACGTCCAACGGAGCTCCGTGTTGCTCCCAGCGCCCTCCCCCGCGCTTCCTGCGGCCATGGCCGATGATACTAGTATGAGAGGTCATCTGGCTACCGCGAGCGCGACTCAACTCGCCGACGTCGTCCGATGATTGTGCCTCAAAGTCAGCCTCCGGAGGCTATCGTGGGGTCGAGCCGGCAGTAGCCGTGACATGTGGTTCCACCACCCCTCGTATGCTTTGCCTCTGACCGCCACCGTTCCCAGGCTGCCAAATGGGATGGAAAGGAAGGCTCGGCGAGCGTATAGAAGCGTGCTCGACCTCGTCGTGGCAACCTGCACGGCAGCGCTGGTAGGCGCGATGAGCGTCGTGCCACCTGACCCGAGACGGGTCGCAGGCGTCGTACCGAGCGCGTCGAGACCGTGTCCTGATGTGATCTGCACGGGTGAGTCACGTCGGCGTCAAAGGAGCGACGTGCGACCTGTCAGAGCTTGATCTCCGATCTCAGCGGCGTCGAGTCGTCTCCGGCGCGCGACAAAGGTACATCCCCAGGACGCGCAGAAGGCAGCTGAGCAACCGCAGCAACGGCGGTGGAATTTGATATTCAGCCGCAAGGAGAACTGCGCCCGTAGCTCCGCCGTAGCCCCCAACCACCACCCAGTACCGCTCGCCTTCGCTGAGCTGCAGCCCTGTGATGCGAGAGTAGAATCGGGGGCATCCGCGCAGTCCCTGCCCGTCGCCGTTGCATGCCACTTGCGTCAGCGCGTCGCA